GGCTTTGGAAATTCTACATCATGTCACATAAATAGATTTTTGTTAATGAAAGATAGATGTGTAAAATGCCACCGTATTTTCATCTTTGGTGTAAAATGTTCTTGTGTAATGTTCATATTCTTCAAATAATATGCTGTTTTTAATCATATGTTGAAAAGTAAGGCACTTTCATTTTTTTTTTTCCTAGAAAGAATAACTTGCTAAAACTAAAAGAGCAGATGATGTTCAAAAGCCTGGTGGCAGAGGTGCAATTGGGGTGTTCAATAGCTGGACCATTCAGGCATGCTGGAGGCTTTACAGTCCCTGTAACCCCCTCAAGTCACTATCCTTGGCTCTCAGGATATGGAAAGGTCAGTGCAACTAAAAGGAATCAGAGTCACAACTACTCCCCTTTGACCTCCCAAACCGAACACCCAATCTTTAAGGCAACAGTTCACACACAGCTAAATGAATGGTCAAGGTCTCATACTAATAATAGGCTTAATACTAATTTTTCTGGTCAGCATGTTACATCTGAACCATATCTATGATGGTTCTTTCTAGGCTAAATGTTTCATCTACTTACCTATGCATGTGTATGTATGTATGTATGTATGAATGTATGTATGTACGTGCTTTTCTTTTAAATCTTAGCTATCTGGGTTAGCAATAGCTTACTAAAAATATGGACATTTCATCTTGACTAATTTATAAAACACACTTGATATTAGGGCGGGAGAAACTAATAATGCTGAGAGGAGCACTGGCTGCTCTGAGGCAAGGCCTGAAGTCTACTGGCGCGATTCAAAGGTGTACGACCTGTTTTCTAGAGCCAGCTAAACATTTCAGCGAACATGGGACAATTTCACACTTTCCTTCTAAGACCTACTTCAAATTTTACTGAGTTGGGATATTGTTACTAAAAGTCAGAATGGATGATAAAACAACCTCATAGACACATCGAATGACCACAGAGGCTGACAAATGTGATGAAAGCAATAGATCAAATCATGCAACTTATTTCCAAGCTTCTTAATGATTAAACAGGTTTAATCCAGTGCAAACGGGTTACTCCTGTTATACTCCAATTGGGTAATTTAGCAGTGCTTCCATTTTCTTGATGTTATTCCTCTGACCTAATTTTTCTCTTTCATTTTTTGTCATAGTTACAGTCTGGATATAGGTGAGCTTCTAGGTTGGCTAAGTAAGTTATGCATTTTGATCTGACCTTCGATACTAATGGTAACTTCACCCTACTTGCCAACCCCTTTAGCCTCACAAACCTGGACGTCCTATTTAATTTCTACCTCTTGTTACTCAATTGTTTGAAAAACATTTTGGTCTTTGTCAACTATGAAAATTGGATAAGCCGAAGTATTGCAAAGTTCTAATTTCATGACTAGACTGTCAGGGTTGGCTGGCTGGTGTGTGTGTGTGTGTGTGTGTGTGTGTGTGTGTGTGTGTGTGTGTGCAGGGGAAGGGGCTCTCAGGGGTTAGAGTGCTCTGGAAATGCACTGGGCAGATTAGAGTCATTCATCTCATTCGATTTGCTCTTGCATATACACAACACAAGTCAGTGTTTGTTATGACTTTCCTGATCCTTATTTATAGGACAATACACGAGGAAACCATGTGTGTATGTTTGAAATAGGAATGATACATTGCACAGATATAGTTCACCACTTCGTGCGATGGGCTGTCAGTGCTCAAACAGGGAGCCTGAGGAGTCAGAACAGATGCTCTTTTCCTTAATGGCCCTTTCTCTAATTTAAAATCCTTCCATTTATTTCCCTAAGATTTGGTGATAACTTTAAACACTTTAACTAAATTACCCAGCGGCTTGGCAGCCATCATGGAGGCAAATCTTTTTAGAGATTGTAGCAATCTGTTAGATCATGGATACTATGATATAAAATCTGCATGCTCCACATACAAAAATTAAATCAGGGCAATGGATACAAGCACATGCTGCAAACGGCATCGCTTCCAAACCGAGGGGACACGACCTGTCTCCAAATATTGAATTTCTGCAAGATTTTCAGTCATTGACTTTCTAAATTTGAGCCAATTTATTCTCATTATCCCTAAGTAAACCTACTTTGATTTTTTTTAAACAGTTATTTTATAATCAAATAGAGCCTGCCAGCCCTGATTCATGGATCCTGATGTTGCTAGGATACATGGTTTGGTATTTGATGAAAGTATATCTCTTCAAAGGGGAAAAGTTTCAAGTGTCCTAGAAAATGACACTCCTGTCTTCTACTACAGAAGACAGGCCCAATCCTGGAGCTTTTTTGAAGCGTACAATTTTCAGGATTGGCCTCCCCATGCTTTGAAATAAGCTTCCTGTGTGGGGGTTGTTCAGTTGCTACCTCTAGTCATGTTGGTCTTAAAGCAAGGAACACATGTATTTATAGTAAAACACATTTTCATATTTAACAGTGAAGAGAAAAAACCCAGAACCCCCAGATTTTATGTACTTTGAAAATATATTTAAAAACATTAAAAATTCTATATTTAAAACATATATTATATGTTAATTGGTACACTTAAATAGAACCTGTATTTACAATAGGCTTCTGATGTGGTTAAATTTTAATGCCAATTTTTCAATAACATAATTATATAAATATACTAAAATACAATAAATATTTTTCTTGTTTTACATGGTGAATATCTTTACCATAGAGAGAACAAGGCCACAGACATTTACTTACAGTTTCAATGGGAATCACTATAAAAAAGCAACAGGCCTGCTGCCATGCATGAAACATTTCTGCCAAAAAGAGACCACAGCAAGACTTTAAAAACAAAACAGAACAGAACAGAACAGAACCAGAACCAGAACAAACAGAAACGAAGAAGAGATTTTAAAAATAAATTTCAGGTCAACACAAACCACCAAACATGTAACTATGATGTATGTTATTGGGTAAGAGAGCGAGCCACTGACCACACAGTTGCTGAGTGTCTCCTATGAAGCCACTTAACAGACATGGCTCTTGGAATACTGTAAGACTGTGATGGGGATTCTTTTGTTTGTTTGACTGATGTCTCTTGGAATGAAGCTGCAAAAGTTAACATAGAGCAGATATTCCAAACATCCCTTAATAGGTTAAAGAGCAATGACAAAGATTAATGTTGTCAAACGTCACAAAACAATCTATGCTACATAAAGTCTTTCTTTCATGTATTCAGTGGTACTCCAAAGACTAAAGGAAACATTGGACAAAAAGAAAGTTTGCTGATGGTATCTTCACTCCCTGAGTCACAATGGACATTCACTTTTGTTCATCCTTTCCCCTCCTAAGATGAAGCAATTGCTTGCCTCTTTTCTGATGCACAAGGAACCCAGATAAGTAACCACTAAGGCATTCACGCTCGGAAGAAGGCTGAATACTAATTCTCACTGGGTCCATTCATTCAGGCTACCAACCTGATGTCTAACCCCAAAGGGCGATGTACAGAAAGGACCCTTGCCGTGCATAGACAGAATTGCAGGAGATTTTTGTGCCCTTCTCTGGAGGAAAATTTTCTCCTGTGTTCTTGCCTCTTTCACAGTGCAAAGTACCTCTTTCGTCTTGTCTCTGCCCAGAACGTCTAGTCTTTGCTGACAATGATCATTCCGTCTGAGTTTTGGTGCCTTTTTCTTTTTTTCTTTTCCTTCTACCAAAACATCTCAAATAAATAAATAAATAAATAAAGAAGTAAACCCCAGACTTCCTGAAGTCTAGGTTCAAAGCAAGTAAGTCTCCTCAAAACAAACATTTTCTAACACATTGCGTTAATTTCATCATCAAAAAATGCCGCATTTGGATCCAAGCCCGCTCCAGGTTAATCCAACTTTTCACACAATTAGGAATGGATGGAGGGCATAGACGGACGCAAGTGTGGGTCTCCAGTGGAGAACCTCTTAATAACGGCTAGGTAATGTAGGCACTTAAAGCAGGGGGTCTAAACTTCTTGACACATCATTCCACGGCCTACTCTGAAGGGTGCTTCTGTGCCTTCCTTTCGGAATGTCTCAAGTACCGTTCCCCACCTCCACCTAGACCTCAGGCTGACCACTCAGAAATTCCTCCTGCATTGCCAGGAAATGGTATGTCAGCTCCACTTAACCTCCACAGGGCCATTCTGCTGCATTTCAATGGCAGTGTGGATTTCTGCTCTGACTTAAGGGTCTGACTGTACTTAGTCACTTTTACCTGCAAAACATTGTTAGGACTTACAATAATTTACCCAATGCTTACAACTTACTTAAAGCAAAAGCAAAAGCAAAAACAAAAACAAAAACCCCAATATTTTGGGTTACTTTTTTCTTGTTCTTTTTCTCTTTGGGAGGAGGGGAGAAAAAAAAATCACTGTTTTCTATGAGTGCCATCATATGGCACACTTTCTTCACCTGTTCACAGTGGTGATAAAATATTTTAAAGCGCGCAACTAAATTTTCCTTCTTAAGATAAAACAAAACAAAAAGAAATGACCAAAGACGGAGGAGAGAGGGAAGAATGTACTTGGAACACATGCGGGTCTTCCTGATAAAATCAGCTTTCCCTGACCCATGCCAGAAGGGTGAGCTGGGGACCAGAGAGATGCATCATGGGCAGTGGAGTGTGAGCACTTCGTTCAGTTGCCTTAGTTTTTATTTACTTCCAGTCATCTGATTGGATTTTTGCAAACATCTTTACAACATACAAATGCAGCGTTTTATCAACCAGAATGGATACTGAAGACAGTGTCTCCATCCCTACTCCTGGTGGAACTAAAAAAACAAAACAAACAAACAAACAAAATAAAACACAAAACAAACAGAAATATACCCCTCCCATCCCCCAGCCCCCTAAGCCAGTAAAGCAATGACAACAGCACCTTGACATTGTTTTAATTCCAACGCTATCAGAAGTCGAAAGCAGTAAAACAGAGTACTAACAAGAACGAAGATACTTAGTGTCTAAAATGTAAACGGAATGTTTTGGTTCAAATTTTTGTTCTTTTTTTTGTTGTTTTTTTTTTTTGTTTTGTCTGTTTTCTGAAAGAGGGACAGTTTATTATCAATTCACAATTAAAGCAGCATGCAATTTATTATTTTTTTTTAACTTTTTGTTTTCAATTCTTGGCAACGGCAACAAACCACAACATTATCGAGGAATGTAATGCAGACTTTTTAAAGTTGTGCGCAAATGACTGTTTCCTTTCTGGTCATGGATATGTCCAATAAATAGATTGTAGAACCACTGTACTGTATAAACTTCATTTATACATGCAGTTCATAAAATTATTTTTTCTTAACTGAATAATTTACCCTGTTATGTATATATACAAATAGATAATTTTTGTCTCAATATAATCTATACACCATAAATCCACTATCTTCCCCTTTTAATGGTCAGTGTACACACACAGGAAGTGTCTATCCTTATGAATCGCCAGCCAATTCTCTTTTTGCTATCCATAGTAAGCGCCCGAACATACGACTGGGTCGTTCGGCATTGCGAGTTCCAGTGCCTTTTGTCTATGCCCCTGCAGCCTTCCTTCGTGTATCCCATGGGATTACACTTGGTCTCGTAGAAATATTGCTTCAGTTGGCCTTTTGATACCGGGACTTTCTCCAGGACCGTGACCGTCCCACCCGACATGTCCACTGCAGTCTTTTTATCTGCCGCTGTAACCCACTCGCTAATACTGTCACACACGCTCAGCTCCCCACGGCGGGCTGGGTCAGAGTGGCGTCGGACCCTCATAGACATGTTTGCGGCATCCAGGTAATTTTTGTATTCCTCTAACAGAAAGAGCAGAGGAGGCTCCAAAGGCACTTGACTGCTGAGCATCACCCGGGAAGTATACAAGTCCGCGTCCTTATGGTTTTCTTCGTTGGGCCGAACCTTCTGGTCCTCATCCAGCAGCTCTTCGATCACGTGTTCAAAAGTGTCAGCCAGCGACGTCGTCAGACCTCTCGAACCTGCCCTGGGCCCATTCACGCTCTCCAGAGTCCCATGGGTCCGCACACCTGGGTAGGCCAAGCTGCCCTGTCCATGGACGTTTGCCTCCTTCATGGGCGCAGCCTTCATGCAACCGAAGTATGAAATAACCATAGTAAGGAAAAGGATGGTCATCACTCTTCTCACCTGGTGGAACTGTGGGAAGGAAGCAGAGGGAGACACAGAACAGGTTAGAGCTTGTTTGCTCCTGGACACCGAGCGGCCCTGTCTGATTGTAATTCCAGACCACTCTGCGAGGGTTTTTTCCCCCCACCCTAATGTCTTAGTGATCCACTCCAGCTGCAGGGGACAAAAATCAGTGTCAGTTAGTGTGCTGTATGTGGCTTAATGTAAACCAGAGACATGCAATGTTTTCCGCAAGATTTACACGTAAGCCTGAGAGTAAACGGTTTCTAAGCGAGTGAACACAGCTTCACGGCTCCCACTTCCTCCTGCTTTAGCAGCTTTGGGAGTTTAATTTTTAATGATCTCTGCTCATGCTGTCACCAGAAACACAATCACAAATGTTACTAAGCAACAACTGTAAGTGGAATAGTAATCTTCCTTTCAAGTCAGCAACACGGTCCTTGGTAGGAATGTGTGAGGGAACCAATAGTGGCTCCAGGGCCAGTGGGTCTCGTAGCTCTGAGGAGTCTGAGCAAGAACCCTATAATAAAACAGCAGACAGAGCTGAGAGGGGCCTTTCTCTCCCAGAGAGGATGTGGCAAGTTTGGACCACCTGTTTTGCAGCTAGGGGCCACACAGGACTTGCCTGGTGTCAGGGAAGAAACTTTCTATTGGAACTAGAGATAACCATCTCCGAGGTTCTACTCGGAGTCTCAAAAGGTTTTGTTTATTTCCAAACAATTCCTTTTCAATAGATTGGTTCTAATGATATGCCTGAGGCAGGTCTGAAAACAATGGGTCTCTTTAGAGAAAGCTGGATTGTCAGCAGAGAAAAGCATTTAAGCCAGCACCACTGGGCCTCACGTGCAGACTGCCCTCACCTCACACTCAGCTCTCCCTGACTCTCAGAAGGCACTTAGCCTCAGGGCTTATTTAGGTTAATTCGGAGATCTAACTGAGAAAGCTCAATAGCTCTTTATAGGAACACCTCTACTCCCCGCGGGTGTGTGTGGTGTGTGGACATGCTGTTGTCATACCTTTACCAACTGAGTAGTGTTTTACACACTTTGGAATAGGTAGCCGGGGGTTCTTTCTGTGCATTTGCAGTTTCCTACAAAGTCTCCCAAGAGCACACCGCACAGTTAAATCACTTCTTGTTTGCCGTCAGCTGCCTTTGCATCATAAGCATGCTCTACAAACCCCATTAAAAGTGAATAACAAGCAAAATTAAAACATACCTATAGACCAAACCAAGGTTACGTCAGGTGGTGGAAGACTTCGAATTACTTACCTGAAGCACTGTGCCCCTTAGTAGTAAAGAGTGGCTTCCTCCTAACTTAACACACTAAGTTTATTTCTCCTTATCAGCCCAGGAACATGAACTTGTAAAGACATACACGTACACCACATGCACTGGTTATTAGGCTGGGTAAATCCACAGGGAAGTATGTTTCTTCCCATGATGTGTTGCTGAGCACAAAAACAACCTACCTCCAATCTATAAGATGCAGAAATGGTCAAAATCCCTAGTACTAAAAACTGAAGTTTCTATTGCTCACTTTTGAAAGAGATAGCGTATTCTAAGTCAAGAGGCTTTATATCATCCCCAATACAAATGTCCTCATATATTCACCTTTGATTTGCATAAATGGTAAACGGACTCAGAACTGCCTAGACTGGAGGGGCAGCTGAGCAGCGAGAGAAGGTGGCCACTATCGTATGTGGTACCCTGGGCAGGGAACAAGAAGAGCTTCTACTACACACACTGTGGCGATTCTCATTAGAATGGGACATGAAGGCTCTCCCCAAGTCTACAGTGGCATGAACATTACCTTGAGGCTGCTTTCCCTCGGAAAGGCGGTGCACACAATAGTCCAGACTCTCTGTTAAAGACTCCACCAACCACCCAGAGGAAGCACAGTCAGACAGGCAGGAAAGGGAGTGAGACATCTTGAATTTACAATCCAGGCAATGATTTAAGACTAGTGCAGCATCCTTCTGAAAGAGGCTGTCATCTTCCTTCCTGAGGAGACTGGACACTCTACCTAAACCCTTCTCCCCTGTTCTGTATAGCATCTTCACTACTTGGTCACCCTTAGTGAAGGGTATTGAGCCCCTTGCCCCTCTGTGTCCTAGGACTTTTTGTTGCTTATGTTTTCTGTAGACTATCTTTGCAGCCCTTAGCCTAAGCATGATGAGCCAATGTCAGATTTTAAATTGCTCAGAGTAAGAACTGTTTGTGTTTGCTTGCTTGTATGTTTCGTACTACTGACTAATAGAAGTTCAATATGAATAAATAGGTTGCCAACACTAACAAAATCTATAAATAGACAGATTTTTCTTTAGAGAGACTTACTTGGACCACATAGTGATTTAAGGTTAGAAAGGCAAACTGCTTTGAGGAAAACGCACCTGTTAATATTGCTAATATCTAAAGTTTTAGGAGGGTTTGTATCCAGTACCATTTCAGAAATGGATCCTGCTTGGAGGTTTCCGATCTGCACAGGTGGTACTTACGTCATTGAGAGAAAATTTTTTCCCAGTATCCCAAGTCCACATCTAAAGAACCCAAGGGGCTCTTCCAATTTGAGTCAATGGAAGGACACATATTTAAACTATTTTATGTTGGTACATGCTTTTAAACACAGCACTCAGGAGACAGAGACAAATGGATCTTTGTGATTTTGAGGCCAGCCTATTGGCCAACCAGGGATACACAGTGAGCCGTTATCTCAATAATAAGTAAATAAACAATTATTTTAGTTATCTATATCTCATTGGTGAAGATTTGCCATTATTGGCTATTTTTATATCACATTTGACCAAATTTAAGATACTTTTATTTAAAAACACACAAGTTTAGGCTTGGAGAGATAGTTCAGCAGTTAAAAGCACTTGCTACTCTTGCAGAGGATACCAGTTCCAATCCTAGAACCCACACGGCTGCTCAGAACTGTAACTTCAGTTTTAGGAGATCTGATGCCCTCTTCTGGCTTCCATGTACACTGCACACACATCGCACCCATACATATGTACAGACAAAAAAAAAAACACCATATATAAAAATAAATTTTTTAGCCAGGCAGTGGTGGTTCATGACTTTAATCCCAGCACTCGGGAGGAGAGGCAGGCTGATCTCTGTGAGTTAGAGGCCAGCCTGGTCTACAAGAGCTAGCTCCGGGACAGGCACCAAAGCTACAGAGAAACCTTGTCTCAATATATATAAAATATATAATAATATATTTTAAAGGCCTGCCAATTTATGCTCATTGAGAAAGAAAACTATGCTTTCAAACTTTGCTTTTTCACTTCTGACATTGATTCTTTACTAACACAATTCTTTTAGACTTATTTGGATATAATTTATCCTGTATAACTTTGATGCACACATAAAATAGAAAAACAAAAAAAAATGAAGGCAAAGGAAGGTATATAATGATTGGCTAGCCAAGAATAACAAAATGATATCCACAGGAGGATACAATCCAACTTAAAATGTTGAAACAAAAAAAGAAAAAGTTGAATTTTAGAACTAATGAGATCAAGACATAAAAAAGTTACCAAATGACTGTATGATTTAAAATCTTAGCTACAGAGGTACTGAGGCTTCTTAGCTACAGAGTTAGAAACTTGTTTTATAACTATTACACTAATGAGTCTTTGGGGGTGGGGGTTGAAATAAGGTTTCTCTGTATAGCCTTGCTTGTCCTAAAACTAGCCATGTAGACCAGGTTGGCTTCAAACTCACAGAGATCTGCCTGTCTCAGCCTCTTGAGTGGTGGGATTAAAGGGATGAGCCACCACCACCCGGCCACTGATAAGACTTTTCAAGTTATGTTTTTCCTCAACCTTTCATGGGTCTCATTTACCTTTTATGTTTTTATCATTCTGATAAGAAAAGTAATTAATGCTTTGTGTATTATTCTCTCATCAATTACATAAGCAAATTCCAAGTAAACAATTGACATCTGAATACATATGACTTAGATCTCACTCTAAGTCTACATATAAATATTGCCCCAAGCTGAGCATCTAAATAAATTCCGTAATTAGCTAGATGGTAACAGCCCCACCCCTCTCACACCCTCTGAGTGGTAATCCAGCATTTTTTCTTTTTTTGGCCTATTTGCTGAAAGGATTTAGAAAATGCCTTGAAAAGTGACTCAATACTTTTTGTGAGCACACTGCCATGAAGTACTTTCCTGTTTATTATATGTTTCTTCCTGTGTTCCCCAGGATGGCCTTGGTTCCAACCTCCATCCTATTGTCTTGGTTTCTGAAGTGTTGGGGATATAGACAGACACCATTGTGCCCAGCTGTACTCTGTTTTCTAACTATGGTTTTCTGATATTTTGGGTCATCTTGGAGTTGGCTGAAATGTTCAGAATAAATTCTTATATAAAGTTTAATGACACATTTCCTGTATAACCTTCAAATCTAGTCAGTAAAGGCATTTACTGATGTTTCCTTTCAAACATTCTACCAATATCTCTTTCTCCAGCACACTGCCGCTATAATAGCCCAGTCTTTGTTATCTAACTTTTTGACTACATGTCCCCGTGTTGTTTGCGATACCCTTTCTGCCCTATAAAACTCCTGGCAAAACACTCCTGTATTATTCTCTTACACAAAAGCTTACAATGGCTTCACTTCTGGTCTGACCAGGCCAGGTACTTGAGGGTCTTGGTCATCACTGGAAATGATTTGATTTTCTCTGCAAATAGAAAATTTCTCTCCTCTATGCCTCTAGGAAACTGAGTCTTGGTCATCTTTTATGACCTGGTTTAAAAATTAAAACTTGCCATACCTGCCACCTTCTCTAATTATTCCAGCACACACTGTCTTCTTTCCTCTCATTAATTCTACATTATTATCATCTTTAGTACTTCATGCCCCCCATATCTCTCATTAACAATACTTAGTAGTTATGGCCAGTCTTCTGTAAGTAAATAAGCTCTCCAAGGAAAGGGATCATGTCATATCTCTCATACTGCTAATACAGAAAAATTGGCCAGGCAGTGGTGGCGCAC